GAACAGTCTATATTAAATTATACACTCAGTTTAACGATCACAAACCTAATAATAGCTAATGTTTAATGATGCTAAGCAAACTTATTCCTAATTAGCTGGTTAAACTGAGATCAGTTCTATCATCAAGCAACTACTTTCATTATACTTCCTCTAGAATTATGCAAAAACAATCACTTAATCCACATTTAAAAACTTTCCCCAATGAACAAATCTAATGTGGTTTGTGTTCCTTACAAAGGAATGGAAGAGAAAATTTGAGACTCTTCCAAAGTTAATTCAAGTCATTAATTTTTCATTAAAACTGTTATTTTATATGTAAATAATACTTCAAATATCTGTTAATACAATTGTTTCTGTAAAAAAAATCAATGCCTCTAATCTACAATCTATTTCTTTTTGATCCAATTACTATTATAAACATCGTATTAGATACTTTACTTGGACTTCAGAAAAGACATCTGCTGATAAAGAGATAACCACTGGGCAAACACAATTTCCAAGCGGATGGGACACTAAACAGCTTTCTTTTTTGTTCAGACATTCATATTGGTTGTCTATTATACTATGGTGTGTTTTTGGTGGTGATTTTCCATTCAGTGTCTCTCTCTTAGAGTTTTAGCTAAGTAATGTGTTTTGACTGGGTGATCAGCAAACTGTTCATGCTCACAGACCTAGAGTACAGGTGAACCTAGAGTACAAAGTTTCTCTAGAACCAAGATTTTTGACAACCTCCCCTACATGTCAGCTTTTGTACTTTGCTTTGTAGCATTGTAGCACTGTCCTCCTGCTGTTTATCGATTTGCTCAAGTGGGCACCAATAACATCTCCATTATGAGACTTGTAACTGTTTTTGGCACATTGAATACGTCACAGTTAGCTTGCCAGGCTTTAACTTGTGGGTGTGATACTCTCAGTAGCTTGCCTGACTCTTCTAGAGGGGAGGAGGCTACAAACCGGGGTGGGCCCTGGTCCACTGCTTGCAAGGCAAACGCCCTACCAGCCATGCTATCGAATTGGGGAAGTTCTTATCTTTGAAGAATTTACAGTTTATTTCAGAAACTGAATAGGAACTCGTTTAGGAAAGATCTTAAACTTAGACCTATCAAAAATCTACATTTCAAAGCAAATGCAAAAACCATTATCTATGACTGAAAAAGCTGAAACCTTAACTTCTTAATGAAAATTGTGAGGTTAGGTTTTTATTATTAGAGAGTCTAAGAAGAGAGAAGTCAAACCTACCAAGGAAGGAAAGGAGTTTTCTGTATAGTCACATTTTCCAATGGGCTCAGATCCCACCCTGACCTCCCAACCCCACCTGGGGGCATTTCTTCTCTTTTCTTGGTATTTCCATCCTAGAATAATGGAAGGATCCATGACTATTGGTCCATTAAACCTAATCTCTTCATTATTGGAGGAGAACAGAATAGTGCCCATGATTAGGCTATTTATAGAATACAAGTCAATAATCACAAGGTAAGGGCAAATAGACTTCAAAATTCAATTCACTTTATAGGATTTTCATGGAGGGTTGGATTAACTGTTCTCCAGGTAGTTCACTCATTTATGTTTTTTTTAAAAAAGGACTAAATCTGGGACCTTAGAGGTTTTTAGATAATGTTCCAGCTTTTCAATCATTTGCCTCATGTAGACACAGCTTTGAAAATAACAGTAGCTACTATTTGACAGGTCTCTGGGGTGGGGACAGCATCAATTATAGAACCTGGTTATTATTCATTTATATTTAGAGTATCTGGATAAAACAGAAGTTTAGGCAATATTTAATAAATAAAAGCATTAAAAGACACACTAAGAATTGGAAAATAATGATGCACACCCAGATCCTGGCATTTTTAATACTTCTTAGTTTAGTTTTTTTCTCATTTAATCCCCAATCAACCTGAAACAACATTACAGAGGTAATAATCCTAACCATATCTGAGATAGTCCTTCAAAACCTAAGACCACACATGTAACAAATTGTAGAGTGACAAACCTCTGTGAACCTTGTCATCTAAGATTTGAATACCCAGTAACAACAGAAAAAAGAGTTAGGTGTGTCCTGTCACATTGGAGGAGAACAGAATAGTTTCCCGGGCTCTAGAGAATCTTGGCAGACCAAAGAGAAAGTCCTACTGCTTCTTCCTTTGCAGTAGGAAAACAATCAAGAAAATGAAGCATGCGAGTGGCAGCTGGAAAGCTGGCAGGTTCCTCAAGAAAAGGACTGTAAGCAATGTCACAGACTGAGAAGATGGATGGGACCCATTTATGCACCAAGGCTGACGCATAAATGGATTCCTGCCCAGTCAGACTGCCCTTTCTTCAAAGATGTCATTGACAGATGAGTAGCTAAATGTTTTTGTTAAAAGAAAAAAAAAGAATAGCGTAGAATAAAACAAGAAACTCTAACCCCAATAGACACATGTAGTCAATGAACATGAGCAGACCAAATCAGGTCTGAGAGGAGTGAAGGCTTTGAAAAGTTATCCTTGATAATTATTTGCAAAGCTGAACACCTTTACTCTCAGATACATTTCAATCTGACACAAAGATTTCATAGTAACCTCAAATTACTGCCAGTTGACTATGTCCCATCTGCTGCTACAGGACCACTGGGGTTGGGTTGAGGACTGCCCTTACATCTTCATGATCACCTACCAAATGAGGCTGATTCTGCAACTAAAATGACCTTTTTCATTTCTGAGTGGTAAACAACATCTACTTAATTTGGGAGAAAATACAGAGAAGCAAGTCCCCAAGCCTAATCACACAGTGACATGATGGGTGAGTCAGAGTCCATGGAAATTGTGAAAAAAAAAAAGAAAGAAAGAAAGGAAGGAAGGAAGGAAGGAAGGAAGGAAGGAAGGAAGGAAGGAAGGAAGAAGGAAGGAAGGGAGAGAGAGAGAAAGAAAGAAAGAAAGAAAGAAAGAAAGAAAGAAAGAAAGAAAGAAAGAAAGAGAAAGAAAGAAAGAAAGAAAGAAAGAAAGAAAGAAAGAAAGAAAGAAAGAAAGAAAGAAAGAAAGAAAGAAAGAACTGAGGGTGCTCAAACACAGAAAGGTCTTCTTGAGGTCACTGCCTTCACAATGCTGCATCCATAAAGCAAAACTGAGATCAAAATCTTCCAGATCAAAGGCAAACAATTTTATATTCTTTTTGTTGTACCAAATATATTTTAGTGAAGACTAATAGACCCCAGTTTTAAAAGATAAGAAAACAATGTTTCTCAAATAACCTTGCTTCTTTGTCTTGCTCTATAATTATCTTCTGAAAATGGGGGCCTATTGACACATTCAGAGTAACTATAAACAGGAGTATGTCTCCTCCACCCAGTCAGGGTGGGTCAATCCTGCTGTGGTCTCTGGCCAGCCATGTAAGTCAACAGCAGACAGACCAACCATTTGAAAAATTCATGTTCTTCTCCAGTTTGGATCCACAGTGTCAAGGCTGACTTTGTATTCTGACCAAACTCATATGGACATTTATGAAATGTAAGGCATCTGGAAACCTATGAGCATAGTTTGTAAACTTGGATAAGAGTGAATGGGATAAGCACAATGATCTCAAGACTAACACAGAGCATTCTTCAAAACACTGAAAGGAAGGATTTCAAAAGAAATTTCAAACAATGGACAGGCAACTTTGTTAAGACCCTGTCTTTGACAACTGCCACATGTGGCCCCAATTCAATATAGATAACTTGTCTCTAGAACTAGCCAACTGGGTTACCCTGCTGGTAAGCATGTCTGACCTCTGCTAAGCAAAAATTAATCTTTCTGAGTTAAATGATCCTGTCTCTTACCTTTCTCAAGAAATAGAAAATGTCAAGTGATAAAATCTTCAGACAGTAGTCATGAATCTTTGGAGCCCTTCTCTTCTAGGTGATGAGTTATAGGTCTGCCTAGTTCAAGATGAGCTCTAGGTCAGATACATGATTGTCTTCCTGCAATGCCCAATAACCAGGACAACTGTCCCCCAAATCCTTCATTTCCTATTAATCTAATGATGATGCATAGACTACATAAAAAATCAAGTGGGGAAAGACAGTGTTTCTACTTTCTTGCCAAAGAACAACCATTTGAAATATGCCTGATCCATTTGCATTCCTTACCACAAATATTCACAGTGGGTGAGGATGCAAAAGATGATGTTCATTCACTCTATGGAACTGCTTGACTAAGGAAGGCTGACAAAAACAAAGGGACTCCCTTTGCTAAATCTAGTGACTTTCAGATATAAATTAGAGGGTTTCACCTATCCATCAACCAATAAATCCAACGATTATGTATCAGAATGAGATCATATTCTAGACAAACATTTAGGCTTTTTTTGCCAGCAGCTTTCCTCAAAGGAAGACTTGTAGCAGTTTCTTGTAATTTAGAGCCAAATTCCACCCACCAGTTCCCAGCAAGCCACAGATGTCACTGACACTCTTGAGAGATGAGAGAAGTGGCAAAAGCCAGAGATGGGGTTTCTCTGATAATCTAAGATTCATGATCACAAAATACTTTGGCTTCCTCCTGGTTCCCAAGATGACTCTGCAAATACATCTAAACCTAACCCCCTAGGAGGATTAGGGAAAGAAAATCTCAAGCTCTTTGAAGAAAGGCACATTTCAGCTTTGTATGCCTAAAACAAATCCACAATTTCCTTATGTGCTTCTTGTTATCTTAATGATGTAGACTTGAAAGAACTGGGGTTTTCTTTAAATTAGAATGCTACCTCCCACTGTCAAGAACTGCTTCTCTACATGTAGAAACAAATTCTTATTGAATCAGAGTTTGTGAACAAAAGTTCTAGGAAAGATTTCTGTTTTCACATCAAATACAACCAGCTATCAGATACTGGATTGAAGGAGAAGACACCAAGTTGAGGAGAAAATAATTTATAATTTTTACCTTTCTAAGCCTACTTTCTGAAAAATAAATGTGTTCTATAGAGACACTTGGCAGACCAGATGAATGGATGTCATGCTTACTTTATAGCGGCTAAAATCCATCATTTACCTGCCACCACAGGAGATTTCCGTTCATCCAAGAGCTGAATGGAAGTACTTGCTGTCACTACATTGCTTTTGTTGACTGGTCCTGTAAGAAGAAAAGAAAATGGAGATAGTTAGAGTTTACATGTTAGGATAGTAATATGGGGGTCAGACTAAGGGGTTAAGGTGTGGGTTAAGACTCTCAAGCAGGAGTGTTCCCTAACCACAGAGCCAGGGGTAAGCCATGGGCATGCTGTATGTGCCTCAAAAAAAAAAAAAACCATGAGATGGAGAGAGAGAGAGAGATAAAGATAGATAGAAAGTCCTTATTGGCCCATGGTTACCAAGTCCACGAACTGTGCTGTGGGCCTGTTTCCAGAATCTAGAATTGGCTTCCTCTATCAGACCGTAAGTATTGGGCAATCACTCTTCTCAGTTGGGGCATTCAATTAGTGACAATGGCCTGCACTGGAGAAGTCCAGTCTCTTCACATTGAAATTATTGATTTTCAATAATTATTGAGATAATAGTGGTTGTTCACTATGCAGCAATGACACATATTTGAGTAATTTGTGGTTGTTAACCACAGCAGTTGCTGTGCTGATTATATTTATAGTTACTTCATAAATATAGCCATAAGAGCTACAGAAGATAAAGTTTTGAAATTATTTAAGTGACTTGATTTACTTTATGTAAAAATAATTACAGGTTTACATATTATAATTTAAAGCCTTCCTTTTGTATAAGCAAAACTATTTTAAACAGGAATAGAGCTGGAATGCAATCTTTATTTCAAACTTTTATTAAAATGATGATGAGATATGGCATTAGTAGTAAGAGAGTTTCAGGTATTGAGAGAGAGTTTCCAATACACATGAGTTAAAAAAAATGACTACAAATACTGAATGTTTGTAGCTGATCATGGCTTAGCCAAGTATATGCCTTACAAAAGAATTTGATGAATATAAGTTGAATGGAATTCAATTGAACTGAGAAGCATGGACAAGGCAGTTCTGAACTTGAATACACTTTATGGCCAAACTAATTCGGAACTTTCTCCTGGCCCAAATCTGAGCAGTAATAAAACCCAGCTTCCTTCCCAGGGGGTACAGGTATTCAATACACAGTAGAAAAAGAGAGAGAAACAGTTCTACCATACCACTTGCACTTTCCCTGAATCTAAAGGGAGCATGAAATTTCCTAAGATGCTATGTCATCCATAACTTTCCCATGAAGGAGGTCAATTCCCTTTCATTATATGATTTCATTGAAAATTGAATGAAAACCTCACTTGCCAAAACACAATTTGACAAGAGTCTTAATAATCAGATTTTGGTTTTCTCAGACATAATTCTTTGTAAGAAAAGTGGTGAATGATAACAAAACAAAGTGACACATGAGGCCAAAACACAAAAGGGTACGACACACACTGAAAATACTTTAGGGCATTTACTTCTCTTCCATAGTTACTTATCCTTATCATCCAGTTTGAAGCAAAAGCTACTCTGTGGCAAAAGGAAAACTTGATGATTCTGGTCCAGATCTAGAAACTAAACTATTTTATTTGGAGGACTACAAAATTATAGGATCACAAGATTAAAAAATAAAGAATATATTATTATTGAGAACCCTGCAGCAGATTGAAAGAGTTTATTATTTTTGACTTGGTATTATAATCAATAAAACATGATACAAGATATGAAAAAAATGTATAACCTAGAAATTTGTATTAAAGAGCACATTCACAGGTGTGGCTATATATCCATGTAGGTCTGTCATATATCCACATAGAAATGTCAGAAAAATATCACAAACTCAAAAACAAAATATCACAAAACATCACATATGCAAGTCTGTCATGTCATGTATACATGTCATATATGCATGTAGGTCTGTCAGCAAGATATCACAATCTCCAAAGAATTCCAAGACCTGAAAGTAATGTAATCAAAAGTCTTGTAAAACACCCCACCTCACTAGACGTTTCTATAATAATATTTGACCTTTTCTTGAATATCTTGACTAATGAAAGACCTTCCTAATAAGTTTATTGGACCAGTTATTAGACAACCCTTACAAATTTGTCTTCTGCAAATTTCAAAAGTACTTTTTTATGATGATTTTTGTTTTTTAAATGAGCAACTTATATAACTCAGTGAAAGGGATAGACACAAATTACTAGAGTTTCTCTCTTAGGATTGTGACGTAGAATTTCTTATAAGAGATCAATATAAATGTTTCTAACAGAAAACAGAAGCATGCATTGAACTGTCCGGAGCAATAAAAATTTATAAAACCAAGTTTTATCCATTTCTGAAGTTTCTACAAAGTCTAGTACAGAGGCTACACAGATAGAAAGCACCAATAACATAAGATATGAGACTGAAAGAAATGGAAGGGTAATTGAAAAGCCCTTCTATTATGCTTCTGAAACTGGTTGAAAGAAGATAGTTTTCAGTTTTCATGTGAAAGGAGGTGACCTTTTTTGTTTGCTTGTTTTAATGATTATGCTAAATGCTTCTTATTGGTCCCTGAGGCCCCCTTTTATGCAAAGCACAATGCTTTACAAACCCATGGCCCTGAAATCTTCATGTGGATTTAAATCCATTCAATTCTGACCTGTATTTGTGGGCCTCTAAATTGAGGTGACTTGTTGAAGGTTCTGGCAAAGAACTAAGCCAGCCAGAATTTTTTTCTAAGTAAGTCGCAACTACATTTATAAAAATCTATTTTGTTACTTAAAAAAAGGTTGTAAAATATTGTGAGAGTTTATATTCAATTTCTATAAGGTAAAAGGTAAAGGTAAAGGCCCTCTCATTGATCGTCGATTTGCTCGAGCGGGCCCAGTAACGTCTCCATTGCAGACTTTGTTGTTACTGTGTCTGGCATATCGAATACGTCACGGGGAGCTTGCCAGGCTCTGCCATGCGGGCGAGATACTCTCGGTAGCTTGCCGGGCTCTCCGAGAGGGGCGGAGGAATCGAACTCGGGTCGGCCATGTTGGCTGCCTGCAAGGCAAACGCCCTACCGTTCTATACAATGCAAAATACCAGTCCTGCTCTTTGCATATTTTAGTTAAGCAAGAGCATTATTTTATTTGGGTCATAGCAGGATAGTTCAATACTTAGCATGACTCTCAAGGACTTGACTGTCATCTGTGTTCAGGTTGTTCTACATACTTTGCACACAATACTCAGACCAATAGCACCAACTTTCAACCAGGACACCCACCTGTGCTGAAGGGGATGGAGTAAACAAAACTCCCTGGAATCTGCTCCGCAGCTCTTCGGTACCAGAGAGGGAAATGATCTGCATTAAAAATGTTTTCCTTGTCTCCAGCTTTCAGGAAGTCCCTTGCAGGAAAAAAAAAACATGGCAGCATTAAGCATGGAAAGACGAGACCTGCATGTATCCTCCTCATCTTTTTGGGTAAAACCATTGCGAACATTTTAGAACCATTCATTATCTGTCTAACATTGTACACCATGCATTGCTCAGAAATTTCTTAGAGAGCCCTGACAAGTTCCCAGGAGGTAAAATAATTTTTCCAAATAGATGTAGTGGACATAATTTTACTGTCTTAAACAAGCCAACAAAAGATCTTGAAATGCTATCAAAAGACCAAAGGGTAGTCAGAGAGTTTTGTCTTGACTCAAAATCCAGACACATGGACACATATCCTTGAAAGAATAAACCTCTAAAGTAAATCTAACTCTTGTTAGAAAAAGAATCAGCGATAAAAATAGACCCATGGGATCTTTTCTTTCTCACCTGCCCAGTGACCAGTCAAACAGCATGGCTCCTAGTCCCTACTAGAAATCTCTCCTGGGCCTCTCTGCCTCTGGCTATGTATTGATAAAATGGGAAGGTTGCTTGTACTTCCTCTTCTTCCCATCAAAATCATTCAAATTTCAAGGTATGCTTCAAAACACATGCAAGATCTTGCTCCATACTGAGGCTCACAGCCTCCTCACTCTGCTATAATGTTTTCCCTTGGCATTTCCTTGTGATTGTCATTCTCCCATCTATAGCCTCCAAGACCTTTGAGAAAATAAGCTTTAGTTTATGTGTTTTAATTTTTCCATGCATACTGAAATAGACCGAAGTCTCGAACATCATGTGCAGCTTGATCTATCTTCAAAGAGTCACCCTTAATCTCCAGCACCAAAGGGCCTTGTCTTGGCCAAATTTGTACAAGTAAGGGAGGAAAACTAACTGCCCTGTGAGTCCACATTCTGCAGAGATCTTTCAGAAATGGAGACAAACCAGGGGACACAGTGTATGTAGTTGAACCAGAAATACTCCTTTCCATGCATACAGAAACTGACAGAATACTTCTTTCAGCCTAGTAATTTGCAGCATGAGCTAGAACCCAGAGACCATGGGAGAAATACTTAAACATAGTATATGATATATATGCTAAGTGGCCATGGGTTACTACAAAGAATATGGGGCCTGGAGCAAGGGTATATCAGGTAGGGTGCTTTCCTTGCTTGTGGCCAGCCCAGTTCAGCTTCCAGCATATCTATCTGGTCCACCAAGCTCTGCCAGGAGTGATTCTTAAGTGCAGAACCAAGAGTAACCCCTGAGCATTGCCAGGTGTGGTCCAAAAATACTTTAAAAAATGAACCTGCTCTTAGTTCAAGTATTCTGTATTTTGAGAGTCTGGCCCACCCCAGTGATTTCTTTAACTTTCTCAAGACTGAAGAAGGTCAAATCTTAGATCAGAAGTCTAAATCATCAAAGGTCCCCCTCGATCTCTTAGCCCTGAAATACATCTCCCTGAAACTTAGATGATCATGTCCTTATCCCTCTCTAACAGAACTTATGTTTTTCTTGAAATGTCCAGATCCCAGCATTCATTACCCCTCAGTGTATGCTTAATAAGCACAGGATAAATCAAGTCTTATCTCAAGAGATTCTATCTTCTTTTCAATCATTGTATGACTGAAATTCAAACATGAAAGCTTTATAACTGTATCTCATGGTGATTCAATTAAAAAAAGGTGCTAAAAAAAGAGATTCAATCTTCAATCATTAAGACCTATTTCTCTAACCTTTCTAAATCATAATCCTCCATTCTCTCTGATGACATCACAATCATAGCTACCTTTCTATTCTAGAAAAGTCTAGGTGGTTGACACCCCTATAAAATCATTTGCTTTACTCATGTATAGTATAGCTTCATGCTGAAAAGTTGGCCAGGGCCCTCTACTCTCATTCACAAGGGCCATGAAAGTGTGAGTCAGGAGTGGGGCTGAGAATGCCCTGAGATCCTAGTGCTCCTCACAGCATTGATGGGGGAAGTTCCTTACTCAGCCTGGCAGTCTAGTTCCTCTTGGCACTTTGAGATTAGCAGTGTTGTTTCCTAACACTCAAATCACTGGGTTTCACAAATATTTAAATGTGACATATGCGTTTGGGGGACAAAAGGGTTCCCAAACATGTTCAGAGGGTCCTAGGCCTAGGACCTGAGAATTTGTGCTGCTATAGTGTACATATACATTATAATGTATATACATTTATATAATGTATATACAAACATTTAAAATATGTATTATCAGAAATAACTGCAGTGGTAATTACAGACCCACTAAAGTCACATCTAACAGTGCATGATGGCATATGCTGTCAAAGTTAGAGCTTCGGTCTTAGTACATGCTATGCATGACACAACTCTACTGTTCCCCCTTATACGTGTTCTTTCAAGGACATAATATTTTACGTGGAGAGCTCGGGACACTACCGAGAGTATCCCTCCCGCACGGCAGAGCCTGACAAGCTAATCGTGGTGTACGCGATGTATCAAAAACAATAACAATGAATGGTCCTCATTTTCCTGATCCTGAAGGGGCCCTCAATATGTTATTGGGCTACACTAGCATGTGACAGGGATGAATGGAGATTTTCTGGGCCTGCTCAAGCATATCTATGAACAACAGGGTAATAGTGATAGTGATAGTGAATATTTTACAGGAATATTTTCAACCTGCACCAATGTAAGAAGGATCTTCCCAGGCTGAGGGGATAAGCATTACCCTCCCCACTAGTCCATGGCAAAGTCCCAGCACTGACCCCAAAGCCGGCTCTGGTGAGTCTGAGATTTATGCAACCAGAGGAGGTTGATGCTCCTTTCAAGGGACACTTTTCCAGTCATGAAGGGGAGAGTGCAGCTGGCTGGAAGGTTTAGGTGGTCCTTCCTCGGTGGATGACAACATTTAGGCATTGGAGATAGCAGGCACTAGGTCTAGGGATGCAAGCCTACATATCCAATCGCTGCTGCCAGCACTGTTCTAACACCTGGGCCAGCAGACAGGAGTCTGCATAGCTGCCCCTTCAGAAACTTGGATGTTTCTGTGAGAGGGTCTGGTGTCCAGAACTTTGGGGGCTCTGCTAAAGACAAGCAGCAGTTCAGAAGGAAGCAGACAGGAGTGAACTGAACTTACGAACTCCCCACTAATGTTCTTTGGGAAGCAGGATCCTTCTAAGCGAGATGGAAGTCTACTTCTGGCTTCGAGGATGCTGAATGAGATAGGTCTAGGTTTTTCTTTTTTAAGAGAGTTGAGTGGCCTTGAATGAGGTATTGGGTCACTTTTAAATCCTTGAGTATTAATTTTTTTCTCCACAAAGTGGTAATAATAACATTATACTTCTAGGACACTACCAGAATTATATAACACCATATGTTAAAGAGCTATGTAATAAAAATGGCCTTGACAAATATACGAAACTTTCAAACTGAGAGTTTTCTTCCTTTTCTTTGGTTCAAACATGATCTTTTAAGTGGCCTTCTCTTAGGATTCTGGAGAGAACAGCAATTCTAATGCAAAGGCTGGCATTCCTGGATGCTATGTGTATGCTACATACATGGTTCAAGAGGCCATACTAAGGTATAGAATGTGTTGTCATCAAGAGGGGCATTAATATTGAGGATGGAGGAAGACTATAGATGGTATGGATTGCAATTGATCTATATTCAAAAACAGGAGGTAGGATAAGGTAAAAGATGACACCTGTGTGGGAGGCTGGTGCCAACACAAGTTATTTCAGAGTGGCAACTTTATAATGTTCAGCACTTCACCCCAAGCCTTTGGGCTGTTCCTTGCATGTCTGGCATATAAAAAGGGAAAAAGAATTCTGAAACCTTTCTGTTCCTGGGTAATAGCTGGATATCTAACAAATACTATTTGATTTCAGAGGACAGGCAGACCACTGAAGTCCGGGTGCCCTGATAGCTATCAATGATAGAAGTTCTTGAGGGCAGAAGGATTATTTTATCCCTCTAGATATCAATGAAGTACTCGGGCAGTATCACAGTAATACTCCAGAGGTATATTGTTGCAGGAATGTTTAGCTTCCAAACATGTATATTTTTACGTTCATAGAAATTCAAGGAGATAACCAACTCTATTTACCAGATTTACAGAGTAAGGAAATAAGTGAGAAGGGCTGGGTACACATTCAGAGAGTTACCCTGATCATCTTACAAATCTGTCACAATAGCCTATTTATCAGAATAGCAAGGTTTTGCTCTTGGTTTCTCCTCTTTGTTTTCATGTCTAAACAGTCAATTCCCTGAGAATTAGGGAATATATCCCTGTGTTTCCCTTTGCCTTTTTGGATTCTAAAAGAAGAAAGCAACATGTATTTCAGTACTCCCAGTTCTTCCTAGAAACTTTTTCTAATAGTTCCATAGGTGCTTTTTAAAAAGCTTGAAAAAAATTAAGCCACAATGAGTGTTAACTTTAAAAATGACACATTTGAGCTGTTGAGCTAGAAAGAATCCCTGAGCAGGATTAAAAGTCAAATCTATAAAACATAAAAATCTATTGGTTTAAGCAATTTGATTTTATAAGATCAGAGGTAAGAGTCAGGGCCTCGGATAACAGAGGCACTCATCCACTCTTCTTTAGTGGGTGGGACTCTGGTACAGTTATTCATCTCCAGGTAACCTGAAGGGTATATGAGGTTTTCTGGTAATCTCTGTACAACACTCCCCCCACCAACCACACACACATGAAACTTTTGATTTTCAGACTCCATTTGTCTCTGGCCAAATAATGCCTTCTTGCTTCCAAGAAAATAAACTGAGGACATTTAATAAGGGTCTCAGAAAAAAAAAATTGTCAAACTTACACAGGCCTCAGTGAAACATGATGACGAATTAAGGTACAAGGGCTCTCTGAGGACTCAGGGGGAAAGCAGAGGCTTAAAGGACATGTGGATGCTGAGTTTAGCAATGACCTGCCCATTGTCCATGTTGGTCTCTTTAAGCACACAGAAATGCATGACTGCCTACTCCTGGTACGGGGTTCTGCAGGCCCTCCAGCTCAATGCAGATGTTTATTAAAACCTACGCAAGCAAATAAACAATAAACTCTAGGCCCTGATTTGGGAACATACAATAATTTCTCAGCAGAGCTTCTCAACCACTGAACGGCCTGAAGCTCCTGGTCACGAGCAGATCATTTACTCCCTTTGGCTTCTCCCCTAGCAGCCTCACCATCCCCCAAAATGACCCACCAGGGTTGGAGAGAACCCAGACACTGAATAGAAGATAACAAGCAGCATGGAGAACAAAGACTTGTAGAAGGGCAGACAGGAAGGTGAATATGCAGGTGATGGGGAGCCCACAGCAGAACAGAGAAGAAATGATAGTAAGCCATAGTAACTTGCCAGGCTTTCTGAGAGGGACAAAGGAATCGACCCCAGGTCAGCAGCATGCAAGGCAAACACCCTATCCACTTGAAATCAGCTTCCCTTTGAATTTCCCATGTTGAGGGGCTCTGCTGAGAAGACCGCCTACTTACTGATTGGTGAGCTGCTCAGCCCCAACAAACAGGTTGATCCTTGAGAGGCCCGTGCGAGTGCCAAGGAAGGCAACCTCCACACCCTTGTCAGAGTTCCTGAAACAGACCAGCAAACATCAGGGGGAGTATTCCGGACAGTGAGCAGATAATGGCTTTTGCATTTTAACACTCACAGGATGCTTTGTGAAACAGTCATCTTGCAACCTGAGATTTTAAAGGAAATTATAGAACCACACACTTACAAACCTGCACTCATGTGTGCTTGCACCAAGTCCAAGATGCACATTCTCAGCCCATACAAAAATGTTTGTATTGATTCTTGGAAGAAAACTGAAGAATTTCATGACAACAAGGCCAGCAGAAGACAACATGCCTTTTTCTTGGGGTTCTGGTTCCAAGTTCAGAGAAAAGTAGGGAAACAAGAATGACTTTTTTTGGAGAAGAAAATCCCTAGTGTCAGCTATCCTTACTATTGCTATCAAATCTGTTCTTGGTCCTGTGACTCTTCATGGACTCTGACAAAGCAAAAACAGGCATCTGAGCCTGCAACATTCCATATCTTGAAAGAGTGTTCAGGACCTGAAAGCTGCCCAGTTTTGAGGGCATCAATTTATAACTTCTACTAGCACACAGTTTTTATCCTGAACACCAACATCAAAGATATGCTTAAGTAAATTGTTGTCTCAAGTAGCCTTGCAGAATTCATTCATAGGAGCCCTAAGAATGACATTCAACAAAAGCTCATTTACTAGTAGACTACACTTCTGTTTTCAATGTCTAAGGTAAACTGTATGTTTGAGCATATTCCTCAGTGTATCTGCAATGCATAGGTCTCCAAAAAATAAAGTAAATATTCTTTTTCCACACACAAATGATTTTTTTATTCTACAATTAAAGTGTAAGAAAATGCTGATTCCTTTGAGGACAACCGCACACGCTAGGGGAAAAGGCAGCTCAGACAGAGAAGGGAGCACCAAATAAAGGGTGTTGGGAGGTTCCTCTCAGGATGGGAAATGCGTGATGAGAGTAGACTATAGTCCGAACAAGATTGCCACTCAATATCTCTTTCGCAAAGCACAGCACTCAAAAGGAGAGAGATAACAAAAGGGAATGCCCTGCCACAGTGGTAAGGCGGGATGGGGGATGGGGGGAAGGGGGTGGGAGGGATACTGGGACTGGTGGTGGTGGAGAATGGGTACTGGTGGAGGGATGGGTATTCGATCATTGTATAACTGAAACCCAAGCACAAAAATTTGTAAGTCTACAACTGTACCTCATGGTGTTTCACTAATAAAAATTGAAGGGAAAAAATAGGTAAAAAAATTTTAAATGTTTAAAAAATTTTAATAACAATTAATTTATAACCTATCAGTAATTTCAAGCTGTTAATCCATTCATAATTATATCTTGTATGAATCACTGTATATAAGTATGAACTTGCTATTCTCAAGTGAATTCTTGTTTTAATCAGATGCAAAATTATACCCAAACATTGCTATGAAGTAACAATTAAAAATGAAAAATGTAAATAAAAAAAAAGAAAAGAAAATGCCGATTCTTGAGTTTGCTTCCCTGTCCTAGATGCTAGTAACAATTGGTTTGACGCATTTCCCATGTCATTTTCAATAAAATATCATTTGGTTACTTGATCTTTGATGGTAGCCAAAGTGGTCAATACTACCTTTAAGTATTTAAGGGGGTGGATAAAACACAACACTAGGCATTTGTTTCTGCTTGTAGCCTAAACCAAATTGGAAAGCCAGGCTGTCCAATCAGTTACAGATGTGGACTACAAAGCAAGCTACCATTTTGAAAATATTTAGCATGTGTTAAGAAGGAATCAGCAATCTTTATGCAGGATTTGGGTTTTATGGGAACTTAAAAGAAATGTTTCTCTACATTCACCAAAGACTATAGTCACAAATACACACACACACACACACACACACACACACACACACACTTTGACTCTTTCCCAATATCCCTGGGAATGCAATCCAGGTAGGAAAGCAGAGCAATGACACCCCAAAATGCAAATATTATGAGTTAAACCACTTACTTTGTATTTCTTCTGGGGAAACTTAGAGCCATTTAAAAGAACTCTGGTCACATTGAGCTCAAAGCCTGCTCTTCTTTAATGTATTGCCTCCTAGGAAATGGCACCATTTCTATCTAAATACTTATGTCACCAACTTGTGTATGATCTTTTACAGCTCAGCTTCCCTTTCCTCACACAGAAAATCCATTATCAAGTCCTGAGGGCAGAGGCAAGGATCTTCTAAAGGATGCCAAACTTCTCTCTTGCCTCCAGTCCCCTTTCTGGTCTAAGTGGGCACAACCTGGAATTCCATAGGAGGCTCGGCTTATGTTCATCCCCACGCCACTCTTCCATATAGGCATGGAGGGACTTTCTCAAAACATGCAACTGTGAGCATATCCTTCCTAGAATCTTAAAGTACATTTCTTAAAATCCTTCAGTGATCTTCCAATAATTTAAGTATAAAGTACAAGGTCCTTCAAGAGACTCCCAAAGTCCTGAATCACCTGGTGCCTATGCAGCTTCATTTTCTGCCATCTTCCATCTGTCCCCTTCTATTTCAGCTGGGCTGGCCTTTACATTCCTCAAATATGACCAATATTAACTCACCTCAAATCCTTGGCATATGTGTTCTATCTCCCTAGAATGATCCCCAAACTAGGTTCTGCTCATAAAATCCTTCCTATCTTCTGTCTCCACTGTAGATCTTTTCTTTTTCCTCCGTAACAATCATCACAGTTCTTACTAATATCACATACTACATATTATAGACACTGCATATTATAGACAAGGACTGAGTTACTTCCTTTTCTAGTCCCATACACATGTAATATACATACAACCAGTATCTGAGAATACATTAATATAAAAAACAAATGATTGGTATATGAAACAACAGAGATCCTATCAAATAGAATGGAAAAAAAAGACCTAAAAAAAGAAAGGAAAAAAAACAAAGAATAAATGACACAAAGTTTTTTGAAAAAAATTGTAAATAATTTTTAATTGGATAGCCTGCTGAAGAGCCTGCTGAAAGTAAAGATAATAATTAATGCTAATCAGCCAAAGCCGTTATTGGTTGCCCATCCCTTACCTCAACCTCCACTTTAGAAGTAAAACCACAGGGTTATATTCAACACCCTGATGAAACAGAACTCTCACTTCTTCATCCAACTCACACCCTAACCTGGCCCTGATCCCAAGTTCCATGCAGCCTGAGAAGTGGAAAGAAGTAGGAAAGAAGTATGGCTCTCTCTCTCTCTCTCTCTCTCTCTCTCTCTCTCTCTCTCTCTCTCTCTCTCTCTCTCTCTGTATCTCTCTCTCTCTCTCTCTGTCTCTCCCCCACCTCCTCGGAAGTGTCACTCTACCTCAGCATACCAGATTTCATGTAATGTTCAAACTCAAACAAATTATATGTCAAACCCAGGAGCTTGCCATCCAAGCCCGAGCCGCTAATCTGCTCTAGCTCTTGTGGTTTGGAGCTTTGGGGAAAATTAAAGAACTTTAACACCAGGCTCCTAAAACAGTTTAGTTCTTTAAACCATAACCATATTTCGAACGGCTTGTGGGGAAATGGCCATGAAAGGGGGACACGTGCAACCACTTACTCAGATTTGTTGAGGGCAAGGCTGGTCCAATACGCCTCAATGGGAGCGCTCACCACTGCATCAAAAAGGACTTCTTGTATCAATTCTTTATCACCTGTTGGAGGTACATATTTGAAAAGATGACTTGGGTGGGGCTCCAGGGCAGACCTGAGAGTGCTCATGGGGCTAGTTTTATAGTATTTGGAGGTTACTTTCTCACACCTTTGTGTGCTTTAGCACTAACTTCCCACCAGCTGAAAATGGGAAACAGTATTGACACCTGATATGCCAGCGAGCAGGGGCCTGCTGAGCATTTGGAAGAGATGATAGAACTTCAGAGATGGGGTGGCTCACACAGCAGCTTTCTGCTTTCTCTGCCAATGGAGATAGCCCAGGTCATAGCTGCAGGCCAACTTTGGGATTCTGAACTGAGAAAGTCGCCCTCCCACTCTCTATTTCCCTCTTCATTCCTATTTCTTTTCCATTTTAAAATGGACAACTCTTCAGTCTTTATCTCATCCATAATGAGAAGGGAAATAGACACAACTATTTTATAACTCCTGTGACATTAATTTCATGATTCTTTCTAGAAAGGTTTTCTTTTTTCAACATTTTAAATTGGATTATCAGTCCCAAATCACTATGAATGCTGTATATCTTGATATCTCAATGGAAAAATATTGATATCTCAATTGATATTAGGGATCAGAGCTATGAGGAGGCATATATGTACACTGTTTTTTGGTGTGAAGAGTTTTGTTTTTATCTTAAATAATATTTAAAATTTTTGTTTAATTAAAGAACCGTGATTTACAAAGTTACTGATACTTAACTCTAGGCATATAATACTCCAACATCAATTCTTCCTTCAGTGTCAACTTCCCTCTACCAGTGTTCCCATGCTTCTCCTTGCCCTCAGTCTGCTATGCTGATAAGCACATTTCAAAATTCAGTGGTTGTAGTTTAGATCTCATATTTTCAATGTTGTTGAACACACCTATACTACTCTCCCACAATACCAGTATACCTGAGGGCCCCGACCCCTGGTCCTCTATTAATTCTCTTTCTCATCTTCTTTCCTCCCTCTTTGACCTCTTTCTAATTTATATATAATAAAAATCATGGTGCAGACATTACTGTTTATGAATAACTATGTATGAAGCAATAGAATAAAATACAAGGAGATAAAGAGTACATACAGGAGGACAAGAACTCCCAGGTGCATCAGCATATTTATACACAATATCTGTAGTCCTTTAATGTTTTAAAAGAATATCAAGGGTCAGGAACAATAGTACATCAGGTAGAGCATTTGCCTTACATGCATTCAACCCAGATTCCATCTCCAGTACCCCATATGGTCTCCTGAGTCTGCCAAGAGTGATCCCTGAATGTAGAGCCAAGAGTAAACTCTGAGTACTGCTGGGGGTGACTCCAAAACCAGAAAACAAAGTAAATAAATAAATAAAAGAGTCTTCAGGAGAGAGCACAGCGAGTATAGTGCTTGTCTTGAAGGCAGCTGACCTGGGTTTAATCTCTGGCACCTTTTATGATCCCCTGAACACTGCCGGGACTGATCTCTGATCACAGAACCAGAAGTAAGCCCTGAGCACCTCTAGGTGTAGTCCAAAGATAATTTTTAAAAACTATAATAAAAGTACCTTGTTGGAAAGCTAGTTCAGGGTGTATGGTGCTTGCTTTGTATGTGTTTAGCCTCGTTCTATCACCAGTACCACATATGGTCTCATGAGCACCTCCAGAAGTGATCCGTTAGCGCAGAGCCAGAAATAAGCCCTGAACAAGTCATGTATGTCCAAAAACCAAGAACTAAACTAAAGCAAAATCCCCTGAAGTATATATGGCAAAACCCTGAGATTTGATAAATATCTTTAAAAAAAGGTTTTTATGTAATTACAAATGTAAGAATCAGAATAATGGGACTCATATAAGATTCTATCGCTACTATTAGATTCCTAGAAATATACATCCAGTCCATAAATATGGTGTTTAGTAGCTATATTACCTCCTTATTCCTCTCACAGGAATACAGTAGTTATTCCATGAGGAAAAAATATATAAAGAACTTTCACATCATTGATTAAGTGGTATGTGTTAGGAGTCAGGGGTAGGTGCCTTGCTTATTTTCAATGAATGTTACTTCTGCCCAAACATTTGATACTAGAAATAACTTATGTGAGTGCCAACTAGCTCTTATAGTACCTGTAAGTCTGGGATATTTCTAATTCACTGGGGAAACAGAATGATCACAAGAGATGATTTGGCTCTCTCCCACTTGTGAGAACTTGGAAATACGGATTTTGACCCTAGGTGAGACAAGTTCTGCTTGTCTCATTCGTAAAACTAGGGAAATGGATAGGAAGGTATTTATAGTCCCTTCCCAGTTGTACCATTTTCATCCTATTCAGGTGTTCAACTAAATGGTTCAGCTGAAAGGATAAATTCAGTACAACAGGTTAAGGCAGGATTGGGAATTAAGCGTGACTTTTTGGTAACCAATATGCTTTCTCCCATTCCTACAGGAAGCAGACATTTGGCTGGATTTAATATGACTGATAATCTCTGCCAAAGCAAAGCTCCCCTTGAAAACTGAGGCCAAGAATAGTTTTGACTTCCCTCCCCACCATCCCAATTACACACACAAATACACATTTGAAAACATGCTTACATTGAAGCAGAGGCTCCTTGCCTTTGAGGTAAAGTTTAATAGCTTCTAGCTGAGATAGATGCCGGTGTTCTGGGTGTAGGTCAGTGTTGCAGTAGGACCTAAGAACGTGACATGGCCCAAAATAAGAGCATTTAAACATTGATAACATCACTACCTTTTGCCTTTGAACGAGAGCAACTGATTGAGACATCTTGAGAACAAAGAGGGCAGCTGATGAAAGACTGAATTCTTACCATTCATCTGCCAAGGACACATCAGGATGTTCTAAGTCATGCAGGCCTGGAAGTCAAGGAGAATGGGTTAATGAATAGGAACTTATATGGAGCACTGATTCCCACCCACCCCCTTTTATGTTCTCAATATTCTAGAACAGGGCCATGGAACTAGGGTAAGGATAGAAAGCAATTCCAAAGGTATCGGACTGAGAAGAGAAATTCTGATCAAAGAAACCAAATTCTCTTCCCAGTTCACTTCTCCCTGACTCCTACCCCTTCAACTGTCACTGTCACCTTTCTTAGTAAGCATCTCATAACTCTTCGAAGATATGTGGTATACCAGGGAGACTTAGGAAAGAAGCTTAGTATACAGAAACAAAGAACGTGGACCCATAATTTTCTGAGCTGGGAACTGGTCACATATATCCTTTATAAACATCAGGTTCTTATGCAAAATAGGAATAATAGGAATACTAACTTATGGGTGGTTGTGAAGGTGAAATTATAGGTTGAAATAAAATATCAATACTCAACTTCTTTCTAATGAGCAAAATTTGTTCTTTGTTATGAGATTCTAAGTTAAAATCAACAGGCTGTCTGGAAAGGTAACTAGAAAAATTGTGGCTTGAGGTAAATTGAGGAGTTTTTATAACATGTTCCAGACCACCCTAATTCTGTGAAATCACCCTTTCCTTGTATGTTCAATGGACTTCATTTCTATGGGCCATCAAATTTTATATACTTTTGGATGACAACTTCAATAACTCCAGTGATGCTTATAGCCTGTTTTAGAATTTTCCCCAAATGACAACCCAATTCAAGTTTAGCAAAACATTAATACTACCTAGCTTTATAGAAAATAGCAAATAAATTGGAATATCATCATATGTAATCTGACTCCTACGCTAGTAGATGAATAATCTTTGGATGTCACTTAAACTCTTTGAGATATATAAATTCTAAATTGTAGGTTATAATGTTTTAACTCACAATCTCTATGTGAAGGTTAAATCCCATAGTAATTACTCCAAGAAAATTAATGAATCTACACATTTATTCAATTTCCTTTCTTCCCCTTTCCCTTACCTCAACCTTCCTTTCTATTCTCTCCTTAACTCCTCAAATAATCCCTTCCTTCCTTCCTTCCTTCCTTCCTTCCTTCCTTCCTTCCTTCCTTCCTTCCTTCCTTCCTTCCATTAATAAAGAGAGAGAGAGAGAAGGAAAGTGCCTGCTGTAGAGAGAGGCTGCAGAGAAGGTGGCAAGAGAGAAACTGGGGACACTGGTGCTGGGAAATGTACACTGGTTGAGGGTTGGGTGCTAGAACACTCTATGATTGAAACCTGACCATGGACTGCTTTGTAGCTCTGTATCTCACCATGATTCAATTTAAAAAATCCATTAATTTATTGAGCACCAACTATTTGCCCAGACACTATCCTAGGCCCTGAGAATATAGTAGTGAATAAAAGAAAAAAAATCACAAGCACCATGGTATTTAATTTACGGGAGAAATTAGGTAAGTAAATAAAATAAAAATATATAGTATATTGTTTAGTTAAGGACTCTGAGAAAAAAAGCACAGGAAGATAGAGGATACCAAGAGACAGGAGCTGGAGAGAGTAAGCTTGGATTCTGACTATAGTGGGAAAGAAAAATGTGAAGGGGGTGCTGTAAAGGGTCATGTTAATAGCTGGAGAGACATGGTAGAAGGAATAGCTGATGCAGGGATCCTGATGTGAGATTTTCCCTTCCTAAATTTTCAGATTAACTAAGTAAATTGATTTAATTTTTTTAGCTTGGATTTTCATCAACTTTCATCCATAAAGCCCTTCTTGGTCATATTTCATAAGACTTATAGAGCTGAGGGAAGATTTTTTTTTCTTTTTTCTGTAAGTTCCTAGTACATCAAGAAAGTGTAATTTTTCTCTATTTTCTCACCTCTGATCTGGCCATTCTGATGAAATCATCCCTACCAATGATTATAAATCTGACGATAATGATATAAATTCTGATTTATTGGACAATTGCATGTTTTGTTACATATATACATATATGTATATATATGTGTATGTATATATATATATTAGTGTCAAGAAGATTCAGAAGAAAAACAATTCAGCAGGTAGAACTAAAACTCATATTTTCCACTTCAGGAGAAACTCTTTACATTTTAGCAAAGTCTACCCACTCATCATCTTTAAAGCATGTTGAAAATTCCTACATTCTGGGGGACTGTGCTCCCTGTGGAAGAGCCAATAGAACTCTGGTTGTCATCTTCAGGGAAGTTTTTTCTTTTTCCAAGAAGAAAATATACATATATTATGCCATGTCCTTTAGGGATGACAAGTCTTTCTACTCATTAGTTAAAGATGAAACAGTTTTCTCCAGTTCAGTTACTCAGAAACGTTGGCAGGACTGTAAGCCTTCTTATTTATAGAGGACCAACACTGAGAGGAAGATCTGACCTAATTTGTATGGATAACAAAACACTCTCCCCCTTGCTGAGGATTCAGACTCATTTCTTGCATGGAGGTTACATTTAGTTTTGAAATGCTCTCTGTGTGACCTCTTAGCCTAACAGCTAAGAGGAACATACAGGACAAAATAGTAAGTAGTGACTGGAAATACAATGTAAAACAGTTCTGTATATATTCATAAGAAAGCAGATTGATCCTTGAATTGTGGATTTATGAAGAGGACCCATGAGAGGCAAATAATCCATTAAGATAATCTCCTTTTATTGTTCTGAGGACGAATTTTTCTTTAGTTTGACCTCAGATGGCTTAGACATGAATTTTCTAGTTTCATGGGTAATAATATCTATAGAGCCACACAAGGCCCAGAGAGAAATAAAAAATTCTAGATGTTATAAAATATTCTCTGAAGCAAAATATAATGAAACAAAATAAGGGATTAGACAATATATCATGAAAACAAATGTTGGGACATATTCAATAGAAATGGGAATTAAGGAGGGTCTGGAAAGATGGAGCGGGACTAGACATGGGATAATGGTCTTAAAACACCATGAAGGAACTGGTACAGTTGTGCTTCAACTATAAAACAATGACTTCCATAGTATCATACACAATAATACTTTAATAAAAGTTATGTATATCTGAGAATCTTGCCCAGAATCTTGTCCAAGTTATAAAGTTGTTTCTTTCTTTTCTCTTGCATGCCCATGGAAAGAGAGAGACTTTCATACTCTCATCCACTGTCTTCGTCCATTACAATGATTCCTCCATTCTCTTTCCTATTCCTTAAGTTGAAACCCCTACACCCCCAACCCCACCCTGACCATCACCACCACCGCAAACTCTACCTGTGAAACCATGTTAGGTCATTAAGTGGTAAATAATAAGGTTGACAACAGAACTTGACATCTCAGGACCCACCAATATCATTATGAATTCCCTGCCACGACATTAGAGTGAGCCCCAAGGTTGTCCAGCTTTTTACAGGTCACCATGTTCTTTGTACATAGCTCTAGTCAACTAAAGCCTGATTGTAACAATCCTTCCTGATCTTCGTTGTACTCTTGGGATACTCAAAAATAGTAGTGGTTTAGTCCAACTCCTTTTCTGAGGAGACGCAAAATCTTACACCCTGATTGGACAAGTAAATTATTCAAGGTCATTAAGGAAATGGAGCTTTCCAAAAGCCAGACCTATCCTTTCCTTCCAGCTTGTGATACCGGTAAAGAAACAGCTCTATGTTGTTGAAAAGTAAAAGGTACAGGTTGGGTGTAACTGAATTTTTAAAGATGAAGGAACTAAGACAACTACTACTAAACTAAATACTAAATTTAATACTAAAATTTTAGATTACTAATGCTTTGTAAGGAAAAAGAATATCAAAATCTCAACTATTTACTCTTCTGACTTATGTCAATCAGTTAAGTGATCACTTTTCAACTTAAGACCTAGATTGCCATAAAACACAAGTGAAATTTGTGGCTGACCTGTATAGAAACTAAAGTTTACCTACCTGTGTTCTTATTTATCCCATGAGCTTGAGTTTTTTAAATTTGGACTATTCCTAGTATTAATTTTTATATACAAGAAGAATATAGATATTTAATATTTCTATTAATTTTAGTTCCACGAGATCGGGCGCATTCAGGGTGGTATGGCCGTAGACTGGGCTGGAGCGATAGCACAGCGGGTAGGGCGTTCGCCTTACAAGCGGTCAACATGGCCGACCCGAGTTCTATTCCTCCGCCCCTCTCGGAGAGCCCAGCAGGCTACCGAGAGTATTCGATATGCCAAACACAGTAACAACAAAGTCTCCAATGGAGACGTTACTGGGCCCGCTCGAGCAAATCGACGATCAACGGGGAGGCCTTTACTTTTAGTTCCACAACTCCGTGGATGAGAGTAAAACATGAAATTATGGAGTTTAGTGTTTCATTAGTTGAGATTTTGACCTTTCTGATAAGAATCTAAGGAATCAGAGAAACATAATGTGAGCAATGAACTGAGTTCAATGTTGAGGGATTCAAAGGAGCTTTGGATAGATGAGCAATGTCTTTACTCCTAATGGCTACTTCACTGGTGCTTTTCCCGCACTAAAGACCATCAGGAGCAAAACAGCCTCTTACCTTCATCGATGGTCACATTCCCGCGGAAGAAGTATTTTCCATGGCCTCTGGAGAGCGCCACACCTAAACTGTGCAGAGGAACAAAGCAGACCTTGAAATCCATGGCATCGACTGGAATAGACTTGTGGGTTAACTATTTTTCCATTTTCGCATTTCCATTTTATGTTCTGTAAACAATTTTTCTAACAGTTTACTTTCAAAACCCCACTGATTATAGTTGGTGTTGGTTTTTCTTAGGCTCAATCAACTACTTCAAAATAATTTCTGATTAGAATTGGCTGCTCTCCTGTGTTTTTAAAGGGGTGTGGCAAACTCTTTGCCCTTCTAGCAAATACTTCTCTCAACACCTTCCCAATGGTCACATGCCCTGCTTTCTCTACACCCACTTATGTATCTCTTCCTCTCCCCTCCATCTGCCAGAGTTGGGTCTCTCCCATTTTAAGAGTGTGAAGTTAGTGAGAATTAAACCATTATCAAGGGTTAAATTGAAAAATACCCACCACCACAACAGTGTAGTTTGACGGGTTTGTTTGTTTAAACAACCCTCTCCTGCATCTAAGACTTTTTTCACATTCCCACTGATTTTAATTATTTTTTCTAAATTTTGGAGCAGGTGGGGAGTTGGGTCATACCCATTAGTGGTCAGGGGCTACTCCTGACTCTGTGCTAAGGGATCACTCCTGGCTGTGCTTGGGAAACCAGGTGGTAGTGGGGATTGATCTGGGGTTGGCCATATGAAAGGCAAGTGCCTTGACCCTCTGCTATCTCTGTCACCTTCTCCTCCACTGGCTTGCTTTCAGCTTCTTTCTGTTGTTTCCTAAAGTCCGAGAATATGTTCTAAAAGCATAGCCTCTTCATTCGTCAAAACTAATTAAGAGCCATGTGCTCCCTTGATTGCTTTGGTTCCAGATGGAATCCAGTCAGGGTCTTACGCATTGAAGGACAACAATGCCATCATTTCCTTCTCAGATGGATTAGTTGTCAGTCATTCTTTCACTCTTTAACCCTGTGAGGCACTAGTTCAGAAACAGGAACTAGCCCCATCAAAATAACTTAAAAAATAAACCAACAAGAATAACGTGTTACCACACGATTTGTTAATAGCAGGGGAAGACTTTAGAAGGCACATACACATTGAAAAGCAGGCAATGAAGCAAAACCATTCTTCAGGACTGTTATAAAGAAAAAATCACAGGATTCCAGGGTAGACAAGCACAAAAGAACAGTTCAAAGAATTCAAACAGAAGCACAACATGTAGGGATGCAGATGCCACCTCCAAAGTTTGAAGGATGTCTTGCTTTTTTTGGGGGGGGGTCACAAAAGTAAAGGTGAAAAATGGAACTCACTAGGCTGAAAAATTAGATGATTAAGGCTCTGGTAACCACCTGAACTACTCTCTCCACCCATAGCTGAAGCCCTCCCCAGAAGCTTATTGGATGGATAATGAGATGCAAAGCCATGACACATTGAGTGAGTTCTCCTAGGTGAGCCTGAGCCTTCTTCCCCCTTCTGGAAAACAAAAGCAAAAGCAGCCTGGGAAAAGCCCCTTCCTCACTCTTTCCAGCCTTGCGGCAGGGTGTTTGGTTATCTTCAGATGATGAGCTCTGAGAGTGCCAGCAGGTTTTGTACAAACACAACTGATGGGTCTGATGGAATGTCCATGGATTATGGTCAGCTCTACCTGAAAGGAGTACCCTTGATGTCTGTATAATAGTAGTCATTTGTCATCACCAAAACCCGTTTCTAGATTGAAGAAAAAAAAAAGTCGCAGAGAAAAGAAAACATGGTTAGTCAGTTAGGTGACATTTTCAGAAATAAATAAAAATAAATGGACACACTAAGATCAGGTTAACAGTACTACATGAATCTTGTTTGAGATAAGTAAAGACAAGAGAAAAATGATCTCAGCGAAAGATATTTATTCCAGATAGAGCTTTCAAAGCTAATTTTTCACAGTGGTTTGTTTTAAATTAAGCGGCAAGAATGTTTGAGAAAAATGTACCCCTTTGTCCACTGTCTTCTTCACCTCCATGGAAAACTTCCCGGTCTTTCGATTCACCATGGCGTTTCTTAACTAAAATGAGAAAGGAAAGCTGGTGTTACCTCTTCTCTAGCAGGCCACACCATTTGGTCACCTCAAACCACCATCTTGGGAGCACATATGGAGGTTTATGTATAACAGTGATGGGTTAGGGCTGGGCCCCTTCCCCTCTGAAACTTCCCATTCTCTGTCTGTGTATTGCACTCAGACCTCTGAAACAGGTTTCTGAAGAGTTTCCAGCCCACTGCTGCTGGACCAGGGCAAGAGGTTACTAACAATAAGTAAATGACGCTGCTCTTCAATTGTGGTTTCTGGTGTCAACTCCAGGGCAACAATGACAAGAAGTCAGTGATGGATGCTGATAGAAACGGAGCACCCAGAAAGCTGATCAAACACACTCAGGAAGCAAGAATGTCTCCAGAGATGAGTTACATTCATCCAACTCGCAGTACTGACTTGTCACGGAGAAAACACATTTGAAGACATAATCAAGTTTAAAAAAAATTATACTCCTATATCAGGGGAATTTTTGTGCGTGGGGGGGGGCAAAGGCTGTTGTTACTGTGTTTGTTGTTTAAAACAACCATTTGGAAGACAGAAATGCATGTCATTTTTTCCTTAGTGTAAGTCATCTTAAAATGCTCTTACTAACATGAGCCAAATAATGGCCTCATCAATGCTTCCAGGCAGAGAATAGGACGGTCGTGGGTCTAACTTTAGAGATCCCACGGTGTGCACCAGTGAGCCTCACTCCCTCCACACCCCCAGCTGACCTCCCCTAATGACGTGTGGCCCTTCTGCTTCTCAGCAGAGGATAGCAGATGCAGTGATGAGAGACGTGCTATTGGGGGCACTGAAAGGACAGAGGAAAGGCCACTGAATGGAGTCAGAGCAACTGCTGACATGCCAGCCCAGCAGGAGAGGCTTTCCCAGCCCCAAGCCTTATTTTTTTTCTCCTTTCCCTTCTTTTCTCCTTTGAGGAACTTGAATAAGATCTGGCCGATAGAAAACTGCAATGCTTGCAAGCAACCTAAATTTGATTCGGGGCTGTCTAGATTTGGGTTCACATTCCCATCTTCTGTGAGAGAGAGTAAAAGCATAATTTTTAGCTGGAGGCATGTATAAAATAAAACATATATTTTACTGTAGATATTTTTTAACAACACATAATGGGCATTTCTGGAAATATTTTCCCATTTTAACTTTTGTGGTTTTGGATGGGGAGAGCTGGTCCTAATTAAGTCTACTTTCTAACTTTTAAGAACGGCTCGATTTATCTTTAACATGGTTTTCATTTTTCCTCTTTCTGGTGCCTGCCTAAAGCCATTTGGGACCTTCCCCTCTCACATTCCCCAGACAAGTCAGAGATTCGGTAAGTCGCTCCACGCCTCCGTGTCCCCCCAACCCCCAACTCCCAGTAGCACACAGCAAAAGTCTTGGGTCTTGCGAGGGTCCAAGGCCGAGGTCACGGATGTTTTCTCTAGACAAATGCTTAAATGATTAGCTCCGTCTTTTCCTTTTCTTCAACTATTATGGAAATAGATTACACCGATTGAACACTTATTTGAGAAGCAGATGGCACTGTAGTTAAAGAAATAGACCCTAGCGCTGGTGATATGGCTGAATTGCAGAGCATATGCCTAGCAGTCAAGAGACCAAGTTTGATCCCTGGCACTGCATGGCCTCTAGCAGAGCTGGGTATGGAACTTCCCCAGAGCACCTCCAGGCCCCACATCTCATTGTCAGGAGTGGCAGTGGAACTGGTTAAACCTCCAGTGTGGGTGGCCTCCATTAAAAATTTTAAAAAGGGAAAAAATAAAATGAAATCAACTCTGCCAGGACCTCTGACCATAAAAATCACCTATGAATTCTCTCTGTTCCTCAGTTTCCTTGCATGCCTAATGAAACTAATGACCACACTCATCAATGTAATCAGGAAAAGAGTTGACTAAGTTAAAAATTAAAAGACTACCAGGTAGCTCTAAGCATTTAATCAATGTTGGTTATCCAACACCATGACCATCATGTTTGTTATCATCTTTCTTACTTTTCTTTAATATCAAAGCTTTTGATAATTAGGATTTAAACTCAAGTCTTCTTTACACACTCATGTTCTATTTGGCAGAATCTGTCCTCTTAGAAAGTTGTAATTTCACAGTTCAGAGGAACGTTGTACTCATGTACATGGAGTGGTGAGGGAGGAAGGAGGCACCCACCTAGGCAGCAAGATCAGCCGAATCAACCTTGGCAATTACAGAAGTGACGTGTAGTAGTTGACTACCTTTGTCACATTCTGCCCACACTCTAAACACTTGTGTAGGAATAGCATCAGATACAACTGAGGGATGCTCTCTGTTTGCTTAAGTTGGGTGGAAGGCCAAATAAATCTGAGAACACTACGTTAAGCCAATGTGTTCAGACTGTTCTGACCCTTAGCCACATAAAATCTGTACCTTGTGGCCGGAGTGAGAGCACAGCGGTTAGGGTGCTTGCCTTACATGCAGTCCACCTAGGTTAGGTCCCCAGTATCCCATATGGTCCCCCATGCCCTGCCAGGAGTAATTCCTGAATGCAGAGCCAGGAGTAAGCCGTGAATACTGCTGATGTTTCCCAAAAATCCAAAACAAAATAAACCAAAACCCCAATTCTATCTTGCTGTGAAGATAGATGGTCTTTAATATCTTCGATTTTTAAGAAATTTAATGTTTTTAACTGATGCTCAGAGAAAATGAAGTGGATTTTGTGGCACATCCCTCCCTGAAATTGCGTGTTAAAAGCTGCCCCCAATCTCCTAAGAACAGGGTTAGCACAGGCAGATGTAGATGCAGTCAAATATAGTCTAAGGACATAAGAAGTAACCCAGGATATCATGACTTAAGTTATACCAATGACACATATTGCTTGCCCATGATGAATCTATGACTTTATTTCTCCATCTTTCAGTCATTCCGTCCTAAGTCTTCATAACTGAGGGCTCCACCGCCTGCATGTACTTTAGGTGCTGTATAAACTGTATGGACCAGAATCTTAGATGAGATTCTTGTGAAGTTTAGTCAATACTAAATGGGTATTATAGTTTAGATATAGTTAACCTAGCTCTCTCTATGCTTTAGAAACAGGCTGTACGACTCTAAAATATCAGGGCCAGGGATAGAGGTGAAGTGACAGAGTACAAGTCTAAGAAATACAAATCTCTGAGTTCTAGTCAAGGTGCCACATGGCACACAAGTACCTCAGGGATGTGCCCATTTTTAAAAAGCTCCAAAAATAATTTTATAAGGCATCCTATTATCCTATTACCCTGTTGTTTAGGTGGGGAAACTGAAGCACAAGGTTAAGAAACAACATCAAAAAAAGAAACTGCATAGACCCATGCAGTCTGTCTGCCACTAGATTCTGTGTTATTACCTCTATTTCTCAAATCAGAAGAGAAAGCAATCAGACAAGTTAATGCATCTTAGAAGAATGAATTTTATTCTTCTAAGAAGTAATACATTATTATTATCTCTGATTTTTTTGGAGGGTCACACCCGGTGATGCACAGGGGTTACTCCTGGCTCATGCACTCAGGAGCCTCATGCACTCAGGTATTACTCCTTGTGGTGCTCGGGGGACCATACGGGATGCTGTGAATTGAGCCCGGGTCGGCAGCAGGCAAGGCAGATGCCCTACCCGCTGTGCTATTGCTCCAGCCCCGTCTGACTGTTTTAAATCAAAGAGTTTTTAATTTTTTTTTTATTTGTTACAAAGAAGTTGTTCAAATGAATCAAGCTCCAACCTGAAGTTTTCATTTCCCAAGAGGCTCTCCCACAGATACTAGGCACTGTGGTCTGAGTCTTTAAAAAGGAGGTTTTCTTTCCTCATGGCTATCAGAGAGCTTGGGGTTCAGTGCTTTCTCAGTAGAAACACAGACACACAAGATGCCTGGTAAGAATATAGCAGAGGGAGGCTGCAGCTATCTGCAAAGCTCACTTTCCCGCCTCTGGAGCCTAACGTGTGAAAAGAGAAGACATTTGCACCATATCTTACGCTAAGCCAGTGGCGCCACCAGCTCTACAAGCTAGATGGCAAGGTGACAGAGGGAGCAAGGCTGTAGCTCAGCTATTGAAGGCAAGCCTCCTCCTTGTGTATGGGGGGACCTGGTTTCCAGCCTGGCTCTGTACAAACTATGGTAGAGCTACCCAGAGCAGAGGAAAGAATGGCGGGGGAGGGCAACAATGCTATCCAGTCCCAAGAGGGATGGGAAAGAAGAGATCAGCAGCATGCTTCTGAGCTCGCAGCTATCTCCAGAAGCTGCCACCATCTGCATGCCTGATCTGAGCAACTGGAGGAATAAAAATGACCTGGAAAAGAAACATTTCCGAGCACTTATTCGTAGAATATTACATAGTCATTTAAAAAAAAAAACATGATGTGTTCAGATGCTTAACTGCTTAGCTAATATTCAAAGCTAAGCAAAACAGAAAATCCATAGTAGACCTTTCTGGTTTTCCTATTGAGTTTCACCCACCTGCAAGGGTGAGCACTTAATGCACATTCAAGCATCTTTCACAACTACGTGGTTGATAAAATAAATGTCAAGCCTGTTCAAAATGAAACTAGTCATCTGAAGACCACGATCAAGCTTCCTGGACTCTAGGAAACTCTGTTTTCCCAGAGGACTAAATGATCCCATCTCAGGTGTTCTTCCCTAGCATCTGTCTATCTGTTTCTTGCCTGTCCTGAAGTTGAAGCAGTTCACTGGTCATTCAGAGTAGTCTGTTCCCTAACAGCCCTGTGACAATTGGTAGCCACATTTGTAGTCGCCTGAGTTGGGTTGTCCGCAGCTTCAACTCTCTCCAGAGAATCGTTGATTACGTTAGGTTAAACTTAAGAGTCATGTACTTCCAGATGCCTATTGATAAGTTGTCTTGTCAAGGAATCTTGTCAAATCTTGTCAAAGAATCCAAATCAACAGACTACAGGGAAAGGAAGAGGCAGCAACAAAGTAGGTCTGTCATTTCCAAGCAGACATTCAATCAGAATATGAAAATAGACTGAACTTCACAGAGCACTGATTCAACAAATCCCCTCCCCTCTCACACTTTTGTATTCTCTCTCTCTCTCTCTCTCTCTCTCTCTCTCTCTCACACACACACACACACACACACACACACTATTTCAGGTGGTCTATGTCTGATGGGCTAGGAAGATACAGAAGAACAAACTGAGCAACAAAGATCTGAGTGATAAAGGTCAGGAGAACAGGCTTTAGCAAGAGGAAGTGAGAGGATCTTTCCATCAGAGTTCCCCCAGGTGACTACACCAGGTTGATTGGAGGGAAGTAGAGAAGGGACAAATGTTGCAACTGAAGGTTTTCTGTTGGATTGAATCTGATGGGGCATTGCAGACAAAAACACCATGTGGCAAACATCTGCTTGGCAGCTATGTGCAAGGCATGCTCCACCTTTCCTGTACCCCTCAAGGGAGGGTAACACTCAAGATACTCTGTGGCATGAGCTTGAGTCTTTAAAGATTCTTTGACCTTAAGATTCTTTCTAAGATATACCAAACAGTTGAAAGCTCTGGGGCCATGTGTACTTTGTGTCCTGGACACCTTGCCTCAGTTTCCTTATCCGTAAGAGAAGGAAAACAGTAACACTTTATGAGACAGTCATAAAGAATTTTAAAACTCTGTCCATATATAGATAGCCTTTAGAACACTGCTGGCTCATAGGGAGAATTCAATATCTGATGGTAATCATTGATACATATTAGTTTTTATTTCTGGTTGGTAGAAATAATTATAGACACTATGGTAAGTTTGGAAATGACTAAATGGTACTAGTAATAAGAATAAATTCATCCTTTATTACTTTATTCTTTGGGGAAATTTTATAATCAAAGGATAAATGCTATTTTAAACCTATTGTTTTCCTTTTAAGAGCTCATTAAGCCTGGGAAACAGACTGCTATGTGTGTCAGGATCATAGGGTGGTTCAAAGATTTTCTCCAGATCCGTCTTTCTACTGAAATGTCCTTACGATGGCCAAACTATCCTGTGAACAGAAGTGCCACTCATCCTCCTCTCAGTGGTTCCTAATTTATCTCTTTTTCTCTTACTAATTTAGCTAATTTATATGCTTGTGTTTTAGTACTAGAATAACCGAGCTTTCTTTTTAAGGTACTCAGAGTCTATGCTATAAAAGTGGTTATTAAATTCAGCAAGAGCCTAGTTGCCAAGAGATATAGGCTGTTCCTTGTCATGAGGCCTCGGCAGGTAGGACACGTCAGGCTGCTTTCTCTTCAAAGGATTGTCTTTCTCAGATCTTAAGCTTAATCGGGTCTTCTAATTTTTTTCTGAAAATGCTAATGGTAGGCATAAGGGCATGTAGGACTTTTTTAAGATCACACAAATACTATGCATAGGTTTCAGAGTTCTTCAATAAATTGGGCGAATATCCCTAAGATAGAAATGTTGACTTGGGGTTTCCCAGTCAAATATATTGGTACTGAAGAAATTTGTCTGTAAAACATATCATCTTCCCAAGATGACAAGGCAAGAGAACATCCAGAGATCAATACGTGCAGATGGGCACTAGATTTGCTGGAGATGCTAGATTTTCTCAAAACCCAGTCTTGTGAATTGGAAGAAATTGCAAGAAAATGAAGCATAAAGCTGAGACTGCAGTGTGAAAGGAAGCTAGAGCAATTGAAGAGGCATGTCCAAACCATTATAAGTGAAAGAATATATTAGCTTACTGAAAATGTACTGGGGCTCAGGGGATAACTAGAATGAGCTGAGTAATAAATAACTTTAGAGAAGGCACGTAGGAAAAGTGAATGTTAGATCAGCAATAACTAGAAGAGGGTGTGCTTCCTCAATTGGGGCACACCAAAGGAAAATGAGCATAATCATGTGCTTTCCCTATGAATGAAAGTGTAAAAGGTGAAAAGATTAAGAAGCACATTGGTGACAAGTTCCAAGATTCTATAAAAAGAAACCATAAAGATCCATGTGAAGTAAAATCAAGTAATGGGTAAAGAGAAGGAAGGAGAGGAAGGAAAACAATGAACTGCCCCTGTCAAAGACTCAGGAGATTATTTAACCACTGCAAGCCCACAGGACACTCATTAATGAGAAGGACAATGGAGGATGGATGATGATGTTGCTAATAGACCAAGACTCAAAATAGCTGCTACTCATACAATGTTCACTGGATCCACAAGACTGTAAGCATTTCTATAGTTTTCAATATTCACAACAGCCCTGGAAGGTATAGATAGATGATTGTCATCATATTTATTTTACTGGTAAAAATAGAAACAACAAAAAACAAAATTGATGTGTATACCTTGCTTGAACAATCCCCAGCATCCAATCACAAAAGGAGGGTTTGGAGCAGGCAGCCTGGTTCTTTGGGTTATACTCTAACCACCATACTAGCCTGCTTCTTGGGATGAGCAAGTGGGAAAGGAAGGGCATTCCCATGTAATTGCCATGCTTCCTGATGACAACACGTACAGAAAAAGATGTGGAACTTTCCTATGCCATTGAGCTGACATGATGTCAGGACACTGGCATGTGGAAAAAAAAGTGTAGAAGTGGAAATGGCTGTCTATCAGAGCTGTTTTTTCTGCACTTCAGCTTAAGAAGATTTAAGTACAGAGGAAGGAGGAAATAGGTTAAATGTCTAAATTATATCTGAGTTTTGCATTTTACAGGCAAGGAAGAAAGCCAGAGATTTATGGTAGCTGAGACATTCAGGAAACAGAGGCTGGGAAGGAGAGAGAAAGCTACAGCAAGAGGAAGTAGGGTACTGGTGGCATTTTCTGGAAGGCTCAAGAACTCAGTCTGTGGACTTCATTCAAATGGCTCGTCTTGACTTCTTTTGCTAAGTAGGACAGAGGGAGGAATGGGAACAATGCTGACTCAACCTTGGGACTTAGGAAAGTGCTCCAGACAAATCAGAGAAGCATGGCCTTGACACAGAGACCTCCTAGAAAAAAAAAAGAAGAAGGATCCAGCTGGGAACACCTGGGAAGTTACGATTTAATTAAGGACAGTCTGCCTGGATTCACACAAAGGCAGCCGTGTCTAACAAATCTGATTTATTGAGGAAGTAACAAGAAGACTAACGGGGTTAAGTCATGGGCATAAGGAAAGCTTTTGATACAGCACCGATGGCTGAATTTGTCTGGGAAGGAAACACATGAGCTATTGCAGTGTGGCCAGAGAAGGGGGTAGCTCTGGAAGGGGGTCTACAGAGCTCTGTATTGCTCTCTCAAACCCTGAACTATACCCAGGCTGGCCTCACAGGCAGATTCTGGCCACCAAAGTATTCACCTGGAAGTGAGCTTTTCTCATGGTCTCCTGGGTCACATCTCTGTCAACTGCTTGACTGGTATTATCTGCACCCAAGGAAGCAGAGACTGTGCAAAGCAAGGCAGGCCAACTGGCTTGTCAGCCACGGGTCACAAGGGTGGAAGAGTTCTAACAGTTCAAACATGATTCAAAGGCCCTGTCTTTTAGTCTCTCTGGGGCCACTGTTTCTCTGGTAATCCTCTCCATATGCTCCCAGGGCAGTCTCTGGTCCAGAAGAAGATATTATGTGGCTCACTCTTTGCCAGGCTCATAAGCAAATCACTTACCACGTCGTCTCGGTCTTCCCACTCCACTTCTGAGAGGTCAACGCTGCTATAGTCAGGTTTCCTCCGCTTCTTGCCTTCTTCATACTAGTGCAGGGAAGAAGAAGAATCCATGTTCATGGGATCCTCAACCAAAGCAAACTTCATGCTCCAAAATCCTGTTTTCAGATGGGCACTTTGCCCACTTACTGTGTCACTAAATATGAGTGGTTAGCTCTATAGAGGCAGTGGTCTGAGGAGGTTAACAGCCTAAAAGCCAAGATTACATGCCTAAAAAAACCACCTGAGCTGGGTTCCACTGTTGGCTTATCATGAATTTTACAAAGTGGAACCTGTGGTTTTTAACACACAATACACAAAGAGAGGCTTTATCTTTCCTGGGATGGGTTTTGTGGGGTATGGGAGACACTTCTCTTCCAAAGTTTGAAAACCACACAGGAAAGGACCTTCTATGTACACTCACCAAAAATCTAGATATGACCTTTTTGTGTTTTAAAGGTCTCATCCACATTGCCCATCTCAAACTTACCTCTTGTTTCCTACCTAAGATTAAAAAAACTTGATCTCTGAAATTAGGTTCAATTCATACCCTCAGAACCTTTTGCAGACACACAGAATCTCCTACTCGCTCTCTGCATAATCTCTTCCCAGAGCCCAGCAGGGCTCCTTCACCCAGAATGGATGTGGCATAGGGAATAACAGTCACAGTTAATAGTCTTTAGCACAGTTCTTTGAAGAGGCTGGTGAGTACCATAAAACCAGGAAAAGTTTTAAATACTCCCGAAATCACTAGTGTTAGTCATTCTGCATGCTGGACATTCATGTGTCTGGATATTCCTGTGTCTTTGGAGCCTTTAATGTTGGTTATTGGGGGTGCTTATAACGTAGGAAAGTCTGCCCTCTACTGCAGACTAAGGATAAGCAACCCCCTTACTTGTATATGAGACAAAGCTAATAGTGTATTGAGTCAAATATGCATGTACATAGTTGTTCTCTTTTTGCTATTGCTGCTTTTGTTTCTGAAATGGGATCCCTGTTGTAACTGAGATGCAGCATCACTGTAAGTGCTTTAAGAACCCTGAACTACAGGTACAATTTGGACACTTGGCTAATGAACAGAGACAGGTGCTGAAGGCACACCCTGCATGAAAAGAAGAGAGAACCCCTGCTGTTAACTGACTGAAACAAACAGACCTACCCAAGACCTTCTAGGGACTCTAAGCAAGGGAGGCCAGCCCGGGCTACTGTGATTCCAACAGAACCAAACTGTTTTCCCTGACTCCTTTTTTTTTCCCCCTGTCAGCAACATTTCAGAAACTCCCAGATATCTTGGGGCGGGGCAGAGATTTACCACAACCACCACCCCCGCCCCCATCCAGGAAGGCTACCTCACCTCCAAGGGCACCGGGCTCTGACCACTCCAGTCAACTATGCTTCCACTTCTTTCTCTCAGGTTTCCAATTAATAGGCATTCAGGTCAGTTTTATGACATCAGATCCACTCCAGATGAGGAGGAAGGGAAGTGGTTCCCTCAGAAGCCAGTATAAATGATAGCAGATTTGCAGTTGGATCCTGTTATGGAAAGTTCCTGTGTGCATGGGAGCTCCGGCCCTCTGGAGAGCCAGACTGGGGCTAAGTAGGGGGGATAGGAATGAGGTCAGTGGGGCTGTCACCTGAGTCTTACAAGGGGGTTGGGGAGAAGCTGGAGAGGGTCCTCCTGAGAAGACAGATATCCTTGGACCTGTTACCTTTGCCCTCCAATATCAGTAGGAGCCATGAGACACCCCAGAAGGACACATAGCCATTTTGAAGGTAGAATTCTCACAACTGCTTGGCTAACCTCATCTATATCTAACATGTTTTAGATGGGGGGGGATTTCTTTATCAGTTCAAAAGCTTACTTTGTTCATTTATTGAACCCATAGCTAAGGGACACATAGTAAGTGTAAGGTACAGAGAACACAAAATCAATTCAACAGAGCATCATTCTATTACAAACACTTGCTTGCAGTTTATCACCCAGAAGTAATCTGTCTCTGTAAGGTCAATTTGTGGCTTCTGGCATAAATGGTGGGAAATGAACTCTGAAAAGTTCAATAACAAATCAAATAATAAGCTAAATAAGATCATAAAGCCTGGGAGGGCTGTGCATGGACTAGTAAATTTCATGTCTAACTCTCATGGTATTTCAGAGAAATTTGAAAAAAAAAATCCCAATGTCCAGAGCACCAAGAATTCCTTCATTCCCACGAAGAGCACCCAAAGGCTGTTCTTAGAGGAGGGTACAGTGGTTCTGTGACTTACTGGGTTTGTGTCCCCAAACAAGGCACCCCATGGCTCCTAATTTACTTTCTATCAGTTGCAAACATGGAGAAAACAATAATATCTCCATAGCAACAAGCTGGAGAAGATTAAATATTGCATGTAAAATGGCAGGCACAGTCCTCACTCAGAATAAAGCCTCCACATATAGTTTCTAAAGAGACCTGAGCAATGAGGTTTTGGCAAAAATATGGGCTGATTTTGTAGAATTAATATAATTAATATAATTAATATAACCCTTCACATGTAGCTTCAGTTTTTAATGGTACTCGAGTCTATTGCACTGTACTACTGAAATTCAAGAGACTTATAGAGATTTAAAGAATGAGATGAAGGTTTCCCAGCAAACTGGTTTATAAAGTGCCATATTCAAGGATTCCCCTGTAATTTAATTTCATTGAGAGAAACAGACTACATTGGAGCTACTCCCTGTGGAGCTCTGAATTAAGAATGCTTCTCCAATGCATGCTGAAAGTAGACTGTAGACCGAACATGATTGCCATTCAATTCCTCTTTTGCAAACCACAGCGCCCAAAAGGAGAGAGAGAGAGAAGAGAGAGAGAGAGAGAGAGAGAGAGAGAGAGAGAGAGAGAGAGAGCGCAAAAGGGAATGCCCTGCCACAGAGGCAGGGTGGGATGGGAGGGATGGGGTGTAGGAGGGATACTGGGATCCGTGGTGGTGGAGAATGGGCACTGGAGGAGGGATGGGTACTCGATCATTGTATAACTGAAACCCAAGCACAAAAATGTGTAAGTCTACAACTGTACCTCATGGTGTTTCACTAATAAAAATTAAAAAAAAATTAAATATGCAGTTACCCGGGGGGGGGGCGGGGGGGGGGGGGAAGAATGCTTCTTCACAATGTCAGTCAAATCAGGTATATGAAACAGGTTTGAGAGATATGCTTCATGGGGGTCTTTATTAAAGAGTGAGTTCCTCAAGAATATAATAAGTAATGCAGTAGCTTGATCGCTTTGAATGAGAAAAATAAAAGTCAAGGGTCTGTTGCATAGATTATGTCAAAGGCAACGACTAAATTCCACATAAAGACCCAGAGTGCACCTTTTCCTTGTCACCCAGTAAGAAAGTACATTAGAAAGTTGGAGACTGGGCTTCATTAGGGATACTCTTGTGCAGTGGGTTGTCACCAACTGTTATTTTCATTTTCTATTTCATTTTTTAATTTACAGAATACCTGGGACGCCCCACCCTTAGGAAATTTGGCTCTAGTGACCATAAGACTATTGCTGATTCAGAGGTGGACAAGTGACTAAATATTTGAAGGAAGTCTGCATTATCCCAGGATTGGTTCAGGGATGAGGACATAACCTTGTCCAGCTCAAATGAGACTCCATCTGGGAGACTTTTCTGGATTTATACAAAAACACAGGTGTCTATCATCTAGTGGACTAGAGCGATAGCACGGCGGTAGGGCGTTTGCCTTGCATGCAGCCAACATGGCCGACCCTAGTACGATTCCTCCGCCCCTCTCAGAGAGCCCGGCAAGCTACCGAGAGTATCTCGCCCGCACGGTAGAGCCTGGCAAGCTCCCCGTGACATATTCGATATGCCAGACACAGTAACAACAAAGTCTCCAATGGAGACGTTACTGGGCCCGCTTGAGCAAATCGATGATCAAGGGGAGGGCTTTTTACTATCATCTAGTATAGTCAAGAAGTAGAATGTGAACTTGGAGTCCTCCAAGGCCATCTCTGCCAACATTTGGAGAGTCTTCCTTTTCTTTGGATAGACAGAAAGTTGAAGATGGATATAAAGAGGACCTGAAAACATGGTATATGTGTTTATGCCAAGCGTGCCTGAAACATTTGCACACAGGGATGCTTTATGAACTAAGGATTTCTTGCCACATGACCACCCCACTGCCCTTTAAAAAGATTGTTTTAAAACTTACTTGGGTGTCAAGCATAACCAGGGGCAGCAGGAATCAGTGTGTATAGATTAAGCACCTTTATTTTCTCCCCAGCTTAAATAGATAATGACATAAATATCACATTTTAAGTAACATGTTCACATATGTGTATAACTTGAGTGATTATTTAGGAATCTATTATTTGCAAAATGCTTCACTGCTGAGCTAGACGACTGCATTATAGTGTGTTGGTTCTATACCTGCATCCTCTGAGAAGACGTCTGTGAGGCCAGAGTGCAGTAAGAGAACAACAGGAAAAGAACTCAACTCTCCAATCTCCAGCTCCTAGGTCAGCTCTCCCCTCTCCCATGGGATTTAGTCTGGGACAAGCTGGGTCCCCCATCCCCACTCCCTCTTCCCCTGCGTGAGGATCTCGTTACTGAGCTGAGGCATTGTGTATGGCATTTGTTAGTGTATCTATAATCTGTAACTTCCTTTGAAAATGTGATTAACGAATTGCAAGCAGTTTCCAAAGGTTTATAAACAGATACTTTGAGAGCCACAGGTAGGTTTGTAGTTTTTGGTGCCTGTTTTATGAAAAAAATATGTGGGAGGAGAATTTAATAAGGAAAGATATTTTGTGCTATGAAATACTTTGAGGTGGAGTTTCAAATAAAGGCCAGATGTGGTGAACATACAAACCAGCTTGTGGCCCAGGCGGATGGGACAAGGAGGGCACCCTATGAGGAGTAAGCCAGAGCCAGGCAAGGGCACGCTTTGGTGCCAGAACTTTCCTGGCTGTGTTCAATTGTTTAGACCTAAATGCTCCTTTGCATTCCCTGCAGACTGACTTTGGAAGCAAAATGGATGTGCTGAGGTGATGGTCACATTCGTG